AAAAGATTGATGAACAGCCCGACGGTTTTTTACTGTTGCGTGCACATTAAAACTATTTAACGCGAGCACCTACCGGAAATCTTGAGAAGTAGATGGACTTAAAGCGGTCGTCAGCCTTGTACAGCGTGCACACCGTGCCGGGCGGCATGGGCAGCTTCACGACGATCCTGCCGAGCTCCTGAGGCGACGCCTCCTCGCCGTCGGGCCGCAGCACCCGTACTGGAAACATTTACTTTTAGAATGCTCGCACTGGGCCTGAGCCGTGTCCACCACCTTCGGATCCTTCACTCACCGTCGTATCCTGGGAAGGGCATGCCAGCCGAGTATTTGGGAGGCTTGGTGCTGTGGTTGAGGCCTATGCAAGAGGCAGTGATGGCGTGGCCCGTCTCAGTCTGCCACCAGTGGTTGAGGATAGGAACCTGAAAGGAGAGGGCGATCATTGGTCTTAACTCGCTCAGGGGGGAAATTCACAAATCTAGTTATCTAGTTCTGATCCCTCTCCCCACGCAAAGACAAGGCCATTTGCTTTATGCCACATCCGCCAGCTTACTTTGAATACATTTTCCGCCCACTGGGCGGTCTCCTGGTCACAATGTTCACCGGCGACGAACACGTGTCTTAACCTGAAAGGATTTGAAAAGAAGATTAACTACTCTTCGCTTTAGCGATTGCGTTTCTGCCAAATGTATGGAAACTCACGATTTTGTCGAATATTTTTTTCCCAACTTCACCATGGGGTCCGCTCTCCTGATCAGTCTCATGGTGGTGGGGGCAGACAGGATGGCGTTCACTTGGTGCTCCTGGATTATTCTGACAAGGACAAGACATGATAAGACCATAGCCGGTAGGAATAGACCCTCAGGCAAGGGATCGTCCAGAACGTACGGGAGCCCGGCGCCTGCGCACCTCGTGGCTTTATATCCACCCCGCAGTACATGAATGCCTTTCAGGCAAGAAGTTGCCTGCCTACTAGGCGCTATGAGAGAGGCTAATCTTGGTAGGTTCGTAACGGACGTACTTTCTGGATGATCCCCATCCGGACTCTTACCTGAAGTACTGGCCCGCGTCCGGCGTCCGGTCAGGCTTGCCCTCGTACATGACCGAGGTAAGGCCCGCCAGCAGCGGCCCGTAGCAGATGTACGAGTGGCCCACCACCCACCCCATGTCCGAGGCCGTCCACCACACGTCGTTGTCCTTCATGCCGTAGATGGTGCGCATGGACCAGCACAGGGTGGCCAGGTGGCCGCCAGTCGGGCGCAGGATACCCTTGGGCTGAGCTGGAAGGGCCAGCGCGTTAGACAGGACAAGGATCGTGCGATCGTGGAGTTGTTCAGTCCGCAGGGATCAATCGTCTCTCCCACCTGTGGTGCCGGACGTGTACAGGATGTACAGGGGCCAGTTGGCCTCGACGGGGACGCACGGATGCGGCGCGGCGGCGGCCACCACGTCATCCCAGTCCAGGTCCAGGCCGGGGACCAGGTCGGCAATGTCTACATTGCGGCGCTGGAAGATGATACACTTCTTGGGCTTGGCCGCGGACATGGCGACGGCCTCGTTGAGGATGTCCTTGTACCTGTGACGGTGGATGAGTTAGGTTGGCCCAGGACGCTCCGATGCAAGAGAAAACCCGCCTACCAACCGCCTAGCCTACCTACTGTCCGTTCCGTCTACTTACTTTATTACCTTGTGGGGCTCCACGCCGCAACTCGCCCCGATGATGACCTTGGGCTCGGCGTGCTCGATGCGGGTGCACAGCTCCCTTGCAGCGAACCCTGCGGTGAAGCACGTCGGTCAGGGCGGGAGCCAGCAGGCGGGAGTGGCCGAGGCGGTTCCAGAGTGCACCCCCAAAAATGAGTTCATCGATCAAGTACATTGTAACTGATACCTGATTTTCGAAGTACGCATACCTTGATCCAAGCGGTATGTACATTTTAAAAAATCAAGAATCAAGTAGTGTACTTAATCCAAGAACTCATTTTCTGGTGCACTGGAAACGCAAGTGTGTGAATGTCACTCACTTGCAGGTGTGTGAATATCCATTATTCGTT